GTGTGTGAGGAGCGGTGCAGGTGGAAACCCCGTCACCACGGGCAGTAGCGTCCTCACATTGCATTTCATAGGGAAAGAGTGATTTTTGTGAATTTAGTCTATGCGATGCTGCACCGCCTTTTAAAAATATATATATTTTTATTGATTTCAGAGAGGAAGGGGAAGGGAGAGAGAGATAGAAACATCAGTGATGAGAGAGAATCATTGATTGGCTGCCTCCTGTACGCCCACACTGGGGATCAAGCCCACAACCCGGACATGTGCCCTGATTGGGAGTCAAGCCGTGACACCCTGGTTCATAGGTTGATGCTCAACTACTGAGCCACGCCGGCCAAGCCCCAGAACACTTTTTAATGCGCAGAACGTATAGTGTCTTTAATCAACATGATTTGTTAAAAAAAAAATGGTGAAAACCTTTGCAGTTGAGGAGCTGGAAAGCTTGTGACATTTTTAAGGGTCTTTAATGTTAAAGATCTCTCTCTCTCTCTCTCTCTCTCTCTCTCTCTTCCTTTCCCTTCCTTTCTGAAATCAATAAAAAAAATATATGTACTTTAAAGGCATTCTGGAAGAGTAAATGGTGGCAGCATTTTACCTCTTTCTTTGTTACTTGCAGATATACTTAAGGAAGAGTTAAATGGTGGCAACATTTTACCTTTCCTGGTTACTTACGGATATCCTTTCGGACTGACATGCTTGTCAGTATTTCAGTGCATGGCTCTCACACTAATCATTCCCACATTTTCAAATGAAGAAGAGTTTAGATTTCAAGGCAGGTGGCCTGGTCATCTGAGGACACGAAGGAGGATCTTGTGAAGAAGTTGTCGTCAGCCTTGGCTGGGTTTGCTCAGTTCATGGAGCGTCGGCCTGCAGACTGCAGGGCCCCTGGTTCGATTTCAGTCAAGGGCACGTTACCTGGGTTGTAGGTTCAGTCCCAGCCCAGTCGGGGCACCTGTGGGAGACAACCAGTCAATGTGTCTCTCTCATGTCCATATTTCTCTCTCTGTGTGTCTCTCCCCCTCCCTTCCACTCTCTCTAAAAATCAATGGGAACAATAAAAATAAATGAATAAAAAGTCAATGGAAAAAATATCCTTGGGGAGGATTAACAAAACAAAAAGTAGTTTCCAGCAGTTCCGCTGCTCTGAGACGGTGGGGTGGACACTGACCTGGGGGAGGTCTTGGTCTCTGTGCAGGAGCGGATTCAGCTGGAGAACGGCGCCCTGAGCATCGTCAACCTGAGCGTGGCGGACGCGGGCATGTTCCAGTGCGTGGCGGAGAACAAGCATGGCCTCGCCTACTCCAGCGCCGAGCTTCCGGGTGCTGGGTGAAGCGCCCCTTTCTCTGGCTTGTTATTTTTCCCTAAACCCTCCA